AATATAATATCAGAATCTGCTAAGGGGTAGTAATAAAGTGTAAGTAAATATTGAAATGAACTCAATGGTGAACTCAAAAACGAGGGAGAGCTGGATCCAAACGCAGTGAGTTTAATAAGCAAAGCAAAAGTACAAATGAACTCAGAAATCCTCAAGGTAACAAATCCAAGATGGAGGAACAAGTCCTCATACAAAACCGGGAACATGTGACATAAATGCCTTAGAAGTATTTTGCATTGTTAGTTCATGCTAACTAATGTACTATCGTTAACTTATGTTAACAAATGGAACCTTAATATAAATGTAAATTTGTATTTCTAATAAATTCAGTGATTTCCGAAGAATCCTGAAAAATGCATCACGGTTTCCAAAAATATATTAAGCAATCACTGCTTGCTGTGATGAAGCGTTGGTCCTAAATTGTATTTTACAGTAGCAGCTATCATTTGAATAGAGATTTGCCATATAAATTTGCTGTTTGCTTATCTATATAACTATTAAAATGTCTAAGGATTTAATCAAATTAATTAATGTGTGATATTTCGCACACTGATATTAATCAGAAATGTTTCTAGAGCAGCAAATCAGCATATCAGATCATTTCTGAAGGATCATGTGACACTGAAGACTGGAGTAACGATGCTGAAAATTCAGCTTCGATCGTAGGAATAAATGACATTTTAAAGTATATTAAAATAGGAAACGGTTATTTTAAATTGAAATAATATTTAACAATATTTATGTTTTACTGGATTTTTAATCAAGTAAGTGCAGTCTTGGAGAACATAAGAGACGTCTTTCTGAAACATTAAAAAATCTTACCGACCATGAACGAGCTGGTGACGTCAAAACATTGAGTCTGTTTCAGAAGATTCTAGCGATTTAATGTTCTCTTGTCACTGTTATTGTCATCCTTCAGTGTTTCCAGCTAGATTTGTCTCCCCTGTTTCCTTCCTAAGGCCATTAGCACTAGCGCTCAGAGTCTGAGCTATGTTTTACCCTTGAAGCGGTGCTGCATAATTCTCTGGGGATTGATTGGCAGAATATCAACAGCAGGAGAATAGAGCACCTTATGCTTTCTGATAACATGATTATGCTTTCTTGTGCGCCCCAGATGCTTTAACCTTTTAAGACCAAATTCTCAACGAAAACAAATGTGCTAGCCGGTGGAATATTTCAGAAATTAGGGCATAAAAGTAAGAAATGTCTCACACATTCGCCCCTTCTTCCTAAAACAAAAACACGAAAGTCGTGGCCACATGGAATTTATATTGTGTGCTTTCGGGGGGAATGTCAGTGGAATTAATTGATTTGCTCGTGTTTGTCAGGAAAGAGCAAGTGCCTGATTCCAACCTGTGTTATTAAAGCTAATACATCAGCGCTTTACCGCCATGAATCAAGCTCTGACGTGTTCTTATGTTGTATGGATTTATTATTCAAAGTGTTGTTTGCGGGTCTGGGAGGCCCCACACTCATCCTGGCCCCCGGAGACCAGCTGTGTTTTCAGAGTAAAGAGCACTTAGAGAATGGCCCGGGGCGGCTGCATGCCAGAGTGCCTCTGGACACAAGCTACTGTCCAGACCTGAGGAAACATCTGCAGATGGACCTCACAGTGAGGACTGTTTAGATGAAATCACTGTCTCCAATGGATCTCTGTGTTTCGATAGACCATACAAATCGGTCATACATTTACATAGCAGTGCACAGGGTGTTTCAGAAGACACAGGAGAATCTTTTTTTAATAATTCTGAAAAAAAAGTTAAAAATAATATATACAGTATCAATCAAAATCAACAAAAGAGCAATGATATGCAAGTGCTATAACAAGTCTCAGTTAGCTTAATGCAGTACACGTAGCAAGTTGTTTTTTGTCTCTCTAAATCATATAATTTAATATAATAAAAAAAAAAGTTAAACTTTCTTGGTTTGTTAAGGCAGACTAAAGGGTGCTTTTTAACACCTCTCTCCAATCACGGAATCTGGGTCAAAGAATGTCCTTTTTGACTCATTTCGTTCTCTCTGGCTCTGATAGGGTGTGAGGAATGGTATCATTAAGGTAATGTTCTTGAGAGGGCATTTAGCTGAACTGTGGTGTCCCTCTGCAGTCTCAGCCCAATCTACAGTGACCTTTGCAGCACAATACATCAGCAGTGAATATGCAAACACATCCTGAACCAAACGACTCTCCACAAAGTCAAAAAAGACCTCATGTTTACAAGCACAGCCTCTTCCTGCAGTGGTGTTCATTAACAAAATAGTTTCTTAGCATGTTCTGCATTCTGTTCAGCTTGGAAAGTTAAAATGTTCAACTTCGTACTTCTTTGTGCTGAAGAATGACAAAAAGCAGAGATTTATCATCTATACCCCCAACTATGAACATATTTGGCCAACTTTTTTTCCAATCAATTTTTTAATTATTATTTTATTTTATTATTTAATTTCATTGTATTCCATTTTTATGTTTTAGTTTATTTAAAGCTAAATAAAGCACATGATAAAATTACTTATTTTTTTTAACTTTTTATATATACACTTTAAATTTACTAAAAGTATGAAATAAAATAAATTAAAGCTAAATAGAAACGCAAATAAATAAAAATAAAGCTATAATACAATAACACAGTAACATTTTTAATAATGTTACATATAATTATATATATATATATATATATATATATAATCATGACTTGACTGTCTTAAGTTGAAGTATTAATAAAAAATATTTAAAAAACAAAAATAAAGCTGATTAAAGCACATAACAAAATGACATATTTATATTTATTTACATATAATTATTTTAATTTAATTTAACTTTATTTTAATTTAGCTGATCATGACACTGTAGAAGAAGATCTCATCTTAATCCATGCAACCTGACCAAACATGGGCAAATCAGTGAGTCCACCCTCAGTCCTGCTGCGAGGGTCAATAGCACACAGTTCATACTTATATTTCCACATTTCTCTCCATTTTATTGATTAATGTTTTCTTTTGGAGCGAGACGGTACTTTTATTGCTTTGGCTTTTGTGATGTGTTTTTGTTTTGACTGAAGAGTGCGGAGCGCGCTCGTATATCATGCACTTCTGCACAGTTTGGCCTCGCTAGCCTGTGGTGTTCGTCAGTAATTAGACCAAAGTCACAGAGGTGGCCAAGTTCAACCTCTTCATTAAGGATCACTCTCCTCACGGCAACAGCTGGAGAGAGAACTATTGTTCAGAAGTGTTGGGTGGAAATGTAAAATAAATGTACAGTGAGAGACCTCACTGAAAGTCGGTTCAGAATCTAATACAGAGCTGGACATTTTAAACAAACAAATAAACATTATGAAGTAAATAGATTTGAATTACAAAGACATTCTGAATTTTATAGACATTTTTTCAAATTTTCATTCATATCCTTTGATAATAATATAGCAAAAAACATATTTGAATGACATCTCAAAAATGCAAAATAGAATAATTTTATTTTTTATATAGTAGGATCATTTTTCAACTATGCTCATTTTTTTTACACTCTCAAAAGTTAACTTATCCACAATGCACAACAGTGGACACATGTACATTATTTTATTTTTTTATTTGATGTTATTTTATTTTTAATTCTCAACACATCTCAAATTATGTATTGTGTTTAATAGCATTCTGTAAAAGAAACTACATTTAAAACATTTTTTTTTTAATGAAATGGCCAGCCCTTTTTATCTTGTCTATCTGTGCTTGTTTGATTGCTGGTTCTTTATGTATTTTAAAATACACACAATTATATAATAATATTTTTGCATAATTTGACAAAATAACAGCTGGATTGGAAATTATGCACAATAAAAGAAACATTTATTTATTTGAAAATATATTTAATATATATATATATATATATATATATATATAGCCACACGTCACTTCACTTTATATATATACAGTATATATATATATATACAGTATATATGAAAAATATATTTATTTACTTGAATTTTTGTTTATTTACCTTTATATTTTTTCCCCCTCTTATCTCAAGGAGTCATGCTGAAATGACTCATTGATTGATTGTTCGTGGTGAAAATGATGCCACAACTTCATATTTTTATGATGGATTTTCATAGTTTAAGATGGATAGTCTGGATCTGGGACAAGGGTAAAACAAGTCTATACATACATAAGGTCTTTGAAAAATAGCAAAACGTAATAATGAGGGCATGATAAAGTCATTTCTTCGTATATAAATCTTTTAGTTTTAATAAAAGAGCCCTGGGACCCAAAATAAAAAAAAAAAAAAAAACACCAGTTAGTGTTCTGTTGGAATCAGCACAGCGCATGATTAATGTGTTTGGCCACAGGGAGAGCTGATGATGTCACGTCTGAGGGCAGTTCCTCCGTGTGTCAGTTCGCAGTGTGCGTCCAGGTTTAGTGCAGGTGTGTGTGAGAGCACTTCTACATGGTGGCCATCTCTCCCCCACTCTCAGGGACCCGGGCAGAGCTTTCCCAACAGATCTTTATTTACAGCACAGGAGTCGGAAACGGCTGGTCAATCCATTTAGCCTAAGGCCACTGATTTGTTCGTATTTACTGCAACACCCAAAGAAAAGCCTAGGTATTTTTCCCTCTCTCCTTCCTATTGATTCGGCTCTTAGAAAATCTGCTCTGCTGTCTAAACACTATTGATCCCCCAGCTCTCCTCGCCAACTCTTGCACCAGTGTATAAAGGGACTGGATGAATTGAAATTTCATTTCCGACAACTTGTTCCTTTTATTTTTTGCCTTTTTTTCCAACTGAGAAGCAAGACTCAGAGCGTCGCTCAGCATGGGTCAATAGCGGCATGAAGGCTGAAGGTAAAGGTCAGAAGAGGTGAACTGTTCTACTGTTAGCTGAGGGTCTGTACTGTATGTGGCACAAAACTGTACGGTGCCTTTGAATTTGGCCAAAATGAGGTATCATAGAATCCATTTCCTTTGATTTTTTAACATTTGTATGACTCATAATGTGTGTGTGTGTGGAACTACAGGATTGGTGTTGGCTCCGGAGGTCACGGGAGGAGCTGAAAGCAAGAGAGGAGGAGTGGAAGAAAGAGAGATCCTTCTTTCAAGAGCAGCTCAATGGCGTCAGAGAGGAACTCCACCGCGCCAACCTCAGGGTACCGCCAACTAAATCTTTCTTCCCATTAGCCTGAGATGTAATAAACTACTATAGTGGCAAACGGAAATTATAACGAATGTAATGGTTGTGTTGCCATTTGCTCCAGTTGCAAAAGACAAAATCCACCATGGTGTTTCAAAATATTGTGAGAGTGACTACATTGGTCAGAAGAGAAAAATATGTTGAATTCGCCTCATCCAACGAATGAACACACAAACTTGTGTTCATTCGTTGCCTACACGACATTCCATCTACATTGCATATTCACCCTGCTACTGAGATTATAATAAGACGTGTTAATTGTTTCTTGCCATTGACGAAATTTTCCAGCAATTGCTGTTTTCACTGTTATATGGTAGGGGGCGCTGTTACAGACCTTCTGAAATAGTACAGCATCTCCAGATCCAAAAACATGCAAAGAAGAAAATCTGTGTATTCCAATAGGAGTAGATAGAAGTTGTTCATGCACAAGTAAGCTAACATCATCACCAACCATTCAACACCATTTAATGTTTTTTTTATATATAGAATTTACCCACATTCAAGTGTTGAAGCTAGAATAAAATGTTTTGTTTGTTTGTTTGTGTAATAACAGCGGCTTTGTTCTTTCTTTTGAAGTATTCACTGTTTACGTATTCTCACTACAAAATATTCTGGGAGTCATGAAATATTGAAGAATATTATCAATATCCAATAAGCAGCCGTTGACTGTAAACTTAAAAATTATACTCTGGCGGGAAAATAGTTAAGAAAAATGTTGACACTTTTTTTGTTGTTTCTTTGTTTAGTAATATAATGCATCATTTAATTTGAGGTTTGGTCATGGTTTAATTTAATTAATTCTTTATTGCAATTTAAATTTATGCTACGTTAAAAAATATGATGAAGACACAAGTGGAATGGAATATTGTGGAATGTAAGTGGAATATTGACAACAGATTGACCAGATTTTACATTCGCAACCACAAGAATTATATTTTGGATAAGACTGCATAAAGATGTTGTGTTAGAAACACTCAAGCAACAGCGCTAATTAGTTTTCTGTAAATTAATGCCAAGGTTATATAACACAAATTATAGTGCTATAAATATACATACATTTTTTATAATGAAAATATAAAAAAGTAGCTAGATTTACAAGGTTAATAACTGTGGAAAAGTATCATCACAGTCTGTGAAAAGAGTCCACGCTGCTCAAAAGGGGGAGGCCCTGTTTTAATGATCATAAATATTCATATAACAACCACGAGCCCATCCCACATTCCATTTGCTGCTCTTAATGTTGATGCATATTTTAATAGATTATTATTACTGCCATCATAACTCTTATTACGGTAAATTACCAGATTTACGGCAGAACTATTATTTTCGTCCCCTGCAGCCATTTTGCTCAGCAAACCCAATTTTTTCCAACGTAGTAAACAAGCTGCTTCTTAGTCTGCGACCCCCTCCCAAAACGTCAAACCGTTGATAAAGATAAACACACAAACCAGCTACGTCCGTGCTTGTACAACTCTCCATCTGAATTGCATATCCGCCCTGCTGCTGAGATTGTCATAAGCCGTATTAAGAAAAATGGTCACACGGTTTGACACAAATTGGAAAATGGCATTTGGAAAGCGCCGCTGCGGTGGAAATTAGAGATATTAAAATTATAAATCAATGTCTGGGTAGAAGGGACAAATGGGGGCGGGGGTTAAAAGTCCCCTCATGACTAAACCCTCCGGGCTTTGATTGTTCATCCACTGTCCACTCATAAAGAAAGGAAGGGAGGATATTGTGTCTTTTCTATGGAGTCAAGTCAGCTTATTTAGCGGCTCCCACACCACAACCTGCTAATGGATCATCTCAAAGGTGCGATATGCATTATGCAAAGGCATCCGCTTGACACTTTTAATGAAGACTTTCCTCTCTGTGCATCTCACCTTCAGTTGCCTTTGTTCTTGTGTGTGTGTAGGAAGAAGAGCATCGGCTGAAAGTGCTGCAGATTGATGCACTCCAAAGAGAGGTTGACAAGACACTGGCACTGCTTGAAAAGGAGAGAGAGGTCAGCAAAACCCAACTTAATAGCCTCCTGTTCACTCACTTTTACATGTGGCGTGCGAAAACGTAAGGATGTACCCCTGGTTTTATTTCTTTTTAAAAGTAAAAGGCTCCCTGATGGTTGGGCCTGCTGGGTCTCTGAAATCCTTGACACGTCTAACCCTTATTCGTCTCAAGACTCTCGCTGTACTCTTGATAGTGCTCAGAGCACAGCAGTGTGTTATACACAGCACAATAAAATAGAACAGTTCGTCACTTTTACACTGTGCTATTATTCTCATTCTCCACTTCAGCTCTCCTGAGCTCTGAACATCTGCTGCTTTCCATGATGGACCTTTCATTTTAAGTGCCACAGCATTGGTAAAGTTAATGCACAGGTTAAGAGGAAGCTCAGGGATCATACTAAGTAGTACGGTTTCTCAGCTTTATCTCCACACTAGGGTTGGGTACCGAAACCCGGTACCAATATGGCACCGGTACCCATGTAACCAGTATGTACTAGAACCGAATCAGAATGCAGATTTCGGTGCATCATTTCGGTGCCATGCCTGAGTGATTGATTGAAATATCTGTTCTCTGGTTCTCTGCCTAAATCTAAACTTCCCTTGTATTTACATTTCTAAACCTGTTGTCCAAAAAAAGAGAATATTATAACCTTTTTACTCCACAACACCAGTCAAATGCTTCCTTTTGTGATCTGATGTGGCTTCTTGTCACAGAATGGGGCCAAAAATATGTTCCATAGGCTACTTTAAAAAGAATACATCGATTAACAATGGATTATAAATATACTTAATTATTATGAAAATACCAGAGATGGCTTGAATAACACAGATTAACTATATTGTCGCAGTCAAGTGTTTATTGTCTTTGTTTTATCATTCAAAACGTTTATATGTTCTGTTTACTCAGTTACAGCTATAAGATGCCTTTATCCATATAAGGGATTTCCTGGAGGGTCATGAGTTCGCTACTTCTGTGACTGGATATGTGGATTTTCTGTGTGAGGGCGGCCTCTGGCGTCCTGTATGAATGAAACGGACATCATGAGTTTATAGTGCTAGTGGCCAATCCATTATTTTTGGGGGAATTTTTATTTATTTATTTATTTATTAATAAGTATCGGTTCAGGCACCGTTTAGGCAACGGAACCGCTTTAAAAGTATCGCTTTGGCACCGGTATCGCAAAAAAAAAAAAACGATACCCAACCATACACTCTCAGAAAAAGGTACAAAGCTGTCACTGGGGTGGTACCCTAAGGTATAAAGCTAAAAAGGTATACATCTTTGTACCTTATTTACATCTAAATAGTGGGGGAATTTTTATTTATTTATTTATTTATTAATAAGTATCGGTTCAGGCACCGTTTAGGCAACGGAACCGCTTTAAAAGTATCGCTTTGGCACCGGTATCGCAAAAAAAAAAAAACGATACCCAACCCTACACACCATACACTCTCAGAAAAAGGTACAAAGCTGTCACTGGGGTGGTACCCTAAGGTATAAAGCTAAAAAGGTATACATCTTTGTACCTTATTTACACCTAAATAGTACATATGTGACCCTGGACCACAAAACCAGTCATAACGGTCAATTATTCGCCACTTACTCTAAATGTAATAAAATCAGAATAATACTTGCATTTTGGTGTTTACATAGTTATTTTTTGGTTACTGATGTTTTAATCATGTTACTTGTCTGGCGTTAATGAAGCGTTAATGTCGAGCCCTGGAGTCTATATGCCGGGGCTCAGCCCCGGACGGCCCCGGCCCAATTTAAACCCTGATTATAGGTGTACCGTAGTGATTCAGGACAAGCCAAAAACACGGTTTGGAAAATGGATTCATGGTGTATTATATACATTTTGTACATTTTGAACACAAAAAAGTTACGGACTGCAGCTTTAATATCCTAATGATTTTTGTCATAAAAGAAAAATCGATAATTTTGACCCATACAATGTTTTTTTTGGCTATTGTTACAAATATCCCCCAGCGATTTAAGACTGGTTTTGTAGTCCAGGGTCACATATTAGCAGTGCTGGGTAGATTACTTACAAATTGTAGTCTGTTACTGATTAGAAATTACACGATGGAAATTATAATTGTAATCTATTGGATTACACATATCAGGTAATGTATGACTACTTTTTTGATTACTTTTAAATTATTTTTGACCCAAAATATATTCTATTCCTTGTTATCAACATTGTGAAGTGTATTAAACATTACATTAGGCCAGGGTTTCCCAAACTGGGGTTCATGAATGAATTAAAAGGGGTTTGTGAGTTGATGAAATTCTGGAAGATTTTCCAAATAGCGGTAGAATTTTAGAAAGGAAAGTTTAAGAGAAAAAAATGAGGGCAAATCAAATTATGAACAATTTGCTGCAATTGTGTGAATAATAAGTAATCATGGAATCTATAAAAAATTAACTAATCTGATTATGAGCATTTAAGAAGTAATATAATCTAATTACAAGTACTTAATTTTTGGAATCTGATTACGTAATCCAGATTACATGTAATGTTACCACCCAGCACTGCATATTAGTACCTTGAAGCTATGTATTAGTACTTTAAAATTACATATTAGTACCTAAAGTCTACATTTAACAGCTTTGTACCATTTTTTCTGAGAGTGTAGATTGAGTTTTATGGTTTGAGTATTCTGAGCACAGTGTCAAGCACCTGCTGAAAAGCTTTCATGCTCCATTTGCTTTCAGTAATGTCTAGAATCTCGGCTCTGAATTTCTCTCATAGTCAAATTAAGGAGAAAAAAGACCAAATTATGATTCTTTGCTCAATTATATAATGCTGATGTTTGGGCATGGTTTAATTTGATTCATTTTTTATTACATTTTAAAATTATGATACTATGCTGAGGACACAAATGTAAATGTAGGGACATTGTTTGCATTGTTGTGGAATATTGACAACAAATAATACAGCAGATTTTCCCTTCACAACCAAATTCATTGGGCAATTATAATCAATTATTAAATTCTGCAATTAATATAATTATGCATTTCAATGAACTGATGCATTTTTACACCCCAAATTGGGATGCTTCTTTATTTAATTTACACAATTAAGTATTGATATTTATTTTTGAGTATTTCATACTCAGTCCTACAGCCTGTTTGCTAGAATCAACCGTACAAAACTAAGAACATTTGTTTATGGTAGCTTTCTATTATGTTGTGTTTTGTTAAAGTTACAGTTTGCTATGTAGCCTAGATAAAGACAGCCTTCTGTTTTGTCATGTTTTATTGCTTCATTATATATCTTAGTTTTGGGTTTATATTCTTAGCTAGCTGTTGAACTAATCATCACAGCACTTCTAAGTTTTACAAAACATGCCAAGAATATAAGGGGAAGTGTGTGTATCATTGCTTGTGATTAATGCTTAAACATTGCATGAGACCTTGCGTGTGTTTTCCACTACAAAAGATTAAGAAAAATAGAGTGTATCAGTCAATGCACACAATATAACAAAAAAACATTGTTGAATTCTCCTTTGGAGAATACCTATGTAGTTTACCTATGGAGGAAAGATCAGGTAGAGCATCTTCTCTAGGACACTCTGAAGGACTGTGCATTTCCTTTATGTTCTTTTCCTGTTGTTCTTACACATTCATTCCACATCACCTCTCTGTTCTCTTTATCTCTCCCTTTGTCTTGTTATAGGATTGTGTAAAGGCCAAGGAGCTGGAACAACTGGGAGAAGAGCAACTCAAGGACAAGGTCTCTCAACAATCCACTGCCTATTAGCTTCTAAGCAATGTCTTCCTCGCTGCAGTTAAGTGCCAGTCATAACCTTGTCATAGTTTGAATTAGAGCTGCAGCCGCACGTGTTAGACACTTAACACGAGACCCCACGCGCATGCCTACACAGTCACCAGTGATCAAAACAACATCTAATATTATGACTGGCCCTAAAATAAAATCTAATATTGTGTAAAATATTATCTGGGAAATATATAATTTCTAACTTTTTATAAAATGTACATTTTTATAAATATAAATTTTAAGTAAAAAAACAAATCTAAATATATAGTCTATTTTTATTTTTTTACTGCTGTTAGATATACTGACCCAAAAAGCAACATAAAACTATGACTGTCAATAGAATGAAATAAGTATGGTTAATCATATGATTTCTTTAGCAAGTATGAACTTTTACTTAAAAAAAAAAATTATATTATATTATATTATTATATTATTCCTGGGTGGCCTGTGGACCCCAAAAGAGTAGTAACAATATTAGTAATTATTATTATTGTTATGGGGGGTTACTAACCTCACTAATTGACAAGTTGATTGTTGGAAGACTATTTTTCCATTATGATCCATTCTGGCCCTGAAGAGTGAAGCAGAGGTATGCTTTGTTTTGCATGTTCTGTTCAGTCTCGCTCACAGTTGAGTGCACAAGCCAGTTTACTTCATTGACTTTGAGCGCAGGTGGATACATTTGGCCCATCTAGTGGACCTTTCTTTTCAAGCACTCAAATCACTTGTTTTGGACGGACGATGGACATCACATGATCTGTGGAGCTGGAGAAAATGTAGACAAGAGAAGCATACTTTTGGCTTTAGGCAGGCTGGACCTGTGTATGGGCTGCGATGCTCTTATTTTTACAGTGTGGCCTCCATGTGCTTCGGGACCTCCGTAAAGCAGCTGCTTCCAAATGCCACTTACCGCTGCATTTTCCTCTGCTCCTCGGACAAGATTACTTTCCAAATAGAGTGCAGACAGCTTGATTAATAGAGGGGTCCACCGAAGTGCCTGCCACAGTATATTTTCACACTTACTTACGCTCATTTCATTCACATGGACTTTTATGCGCTGAACCTTTCACCACAGGAGTCCATCGGTTCATAAAAACACGCGGCTCTTTGAGACGATGTCTGGGAAAACTCATTAAAGATTCTAGATGTTGTGTTTAAGAGTTGATGTGTTTGGGCATCAGTCTCGGTGTGATGCAACATTCATTAAAATATTTATATAAATATAGAATGCCTTATTGAGGATTCAACTGATGTTTTTCAACTGTCACAATATATCGTTACAATATGGGAAAGATCTGTTTTTTCTTCCATTACATGACGACTTTAAAGGGGTCATATGATGCGATTTCAATTTTTCCTCTCTCTTTGGAGTGTTACAAGCTCTTGGTGCATAAAGAAGATCTGTAAAGTTGCAAAGACTAAAGTCTCAAATCCAAAGAGATATTCTTTATAAAAGTTAAAGTCAACCACGCCTACCTAAAACGGCTCGTTCTAACACGCCCCCACATATCTACGTCACGATGTGGGAAGATTTGCATAATGTTCACGTAAAGAAAGAAGGCGTAACTTTTATTCTTGCTGTAGTATTGTTGTTGCCGCTTTATTTATTTATTATTTATTTAATTTATTCCAGCATAAATATGCAGATGTCATTCCCGAAGCTTTGCAGTGTGTGAAAAACAAGTTTCGTACAAATTCTGAATTATAGCCTCCCTTTAAAGCGTGCACGCATTATAATCACTTTTATAAAAACTTCAAACTTTACCTTCAAGCTCAAGTTCGCTTGTGACCTTCACATGACCCTAAACACCAACCCTCACAACTTGCCCAGTCCAAATTCTTACAATATATTCCTAGGACCCCTGCTGCTTCAATTTGTTTTGTGTTTCCCTTTATGATTACTGTAGGCAATTTGATTAGACCGTCTATTCTCTGCTTTATATCCTACATCCACTTACAAAAATATGCTAGAATCATATTTTATATGAAGTTGGATCATTGTGTTTGGAATAAAGGGGGGAATGGTACTTTAGCAGATAATTATGTGTAATCCACAATAATAACAGACAAAGTGGTTTTAGGCCACGTTATCCAATTTGCCATTTAATGTGAGATAGGCTGCCGCTCGCTCCCTAAAAATTGAACCATTTCCTTAAATCGACAATTTCCCTGCTTCCAGAATGCATAGAGCACAGAAATGATGGAACTTCATATTCCAGTACTATTTTTATATAGAAACAGAAGATAATTTTTGTTTATTTTGCTTTCTTTCTTTTGTTTGGATTGAACCCTGCTGTTTTTAATTGACGCCTGCTCAGGGTCTGTCAGATAGGTCAGTGTGAGGACAGACTGCAAGCTTTGAGCCAGGAAATAGAATTACTGAGAAAGAGACTGCAAGGACATGATCAGCAAGTTCTTTACACACGTGTGTGGGTGTGTGTGTGTGCGCGTTTTTGTGACAAATGAGGACATCATTTGTATAATGACAAAGGTATGACATAGGTATTACAAGGAGAAGGTGACTTTTCAGGACATTACCCCATGTCCCCACTTTTCAAAACGCTTATAAATCACACAGAATGGAGTGTATTGAAAATCTGAAATAGCACAAAGTTTCCTGTGTGTGTGTGTGTGTGTGTGTGTAAAGAGTAATTATATATTTTATTATATAGTTTACATAAATATTATTATAATTTCAAATAACTATTCTATTTTAATATATTTTAAAATTGATTAAGGTTACGGCAAAGCTGAATTTTTCTGCTTCAGATTGTTGCAGAAACCATTATTCTTTTTTTTCAGGATTATTTGATGAATAGAAGAGTCAAATGCAGTGCATCCTGGCTGAATAAAAGTGTTAATTTCTTTTAAATGTATATATACATATTTGAGGTGAAATAGTATTTATTTTTTATTATTTTCACGCATGTTTAGCATTAAATGAATTATTTATATTTGTAATCAATATTTCAAATCAATATTATAGGCATCTCACTAGATATTGATGCAGAGTTTATATCTTTTCACAAGGGTGTAGGAGTCTGAAAATTGTGGAGGGTAACTTATCACCTTGACTTATGCATGACAGTCACCCAGTAGTTGTACCTGATTTTCTGCAAGGCAGACGTGGGTAAATAGACGTTAACAATAGCTGTTTACCACTTTGCCAATGCTAAGGTTTGACAGCAGCCAACCAGTGTTAATAACCAGTGTTGGGGGTAACGCATTACAAGAAACGCGAGTTACGTAATCAGATTCCTTTTTTTATGTAACTAGTAAAGTAACGCATTACTTTTTAATTTAGAAGGACATATCTGAGTTACTTTTTCAAATAAGTAATGCCAGTTTGTTTCTCATGTATTGACTGACAGCTCTGGTGCTGCCATGGTGACAGAAATCAGGAGTAAGTGCAGAGCGTTGTGTGTGAACATGATCTTACTGTAGTTCAAGACTAACTATGAACATGTGTTTACTCATCTCACCTGCACAAAAACAGATTCAGTGTTCCTCAAAATGAATAAAAACAGTCGAATGCAAACTTAGAATATTATACAAACCTGCAATAATTAAATGTGTTAAATAAGACAAATATCATTTATGTATTTAATCCCATTTTATCATGCAATATCTTTGTTACTGACCTTCGATGATCCAATTCAATCATACTAATAAGCAAAAATGACACATTTGTCATATTCTTCATGTGATTTGTTTGAGCGGCGCTCTCTACTGTACAGACGTGAATTTACGTTTCCTTCAGTCTGAGCCGTATTCATTTCACTTTTGTTGTGAAAAGGGCTTTTATATTTGTAAAATAACTTTTTTTTTTGCCCAAATTTAAAAAGTAACTCAAAAGTAATGTAACGCATTACTTTCCATAAAAAGTAACTAAGTAACGTAATTAGTTACTTTTTTAGGGATTAACGCAATATTATAATGCATTACTTTTAAAAGTAACTTCCCCCAACACTGTTAATAACCCCATGATAAGCTTGACAAGTGTTTTCTTTCATATGTTGATGTATCCCTGTTGAAACAAGAAGTTTAGGCCATTTTCAATGCGAGAAAGTATTTAGAAATTTCAAAAAATGTAACTGTTGCCACGACCCTGCCTTTCCATGTTTTGCTTTTATCAGCTTTACTAGCTTTACCAGTTTTATTGATTGTTTATCCAGTAGTCTGCTGCTCAGTTGGAATAAACGAGTGCAGTGTAATGTGTTGTGTTCGAAAAGCAGCAAGAAGGTCTAGATCAGAGATGGACTGAGCTTAAGACTGATCTGTATCAATACACCACCTGCTACACCCTCTCCAGCCTCAATGATCTGCACATCTGTAAACACATCCACTGTGATGCAACTTGATGTATAATAAGAAATCTTGCATCTCTCTTTCTGTGCATGTGTTTGGACAGCTGGTAGAAGAGCAGTCCACAGTCTCCAGGCTGCAGCACGAGCTTCAGGACGCAGAGCGTCAGAGGAATCTCCTGGGCACCAGAGTAGCTGCGCTGAACTGTGACATCCAGCAGAAAGACTGCAGGTGGCTCGCAGAGCAGGACGAGGTACACCGCACCACATACTTGGGTAAAACAAGTGTCTGGTAAGGGTTCATGTAGAGTAAAAGCTGTGTGTGTGTGGTAGGTGTCCAGTAGAGATGACCTGAAGACCGCTCGGGAGAATCTGATCGCTTCACAAGAGGAGGTGAGGGACACCTGTCAATCATTTGTGACCCTGGACCACAAAACCAGTCTTAAGTCGCTGGGGTATATTTTTAGTAATAGCCAAAAAAAACATTGTATGGGTCAAAATTATTGATTTTTCTTTTATGCCAAAAATCATTAGGATACTAAGTAAAGATCATGTTCCATGAAGATATTTTGTAAATATCAAAACTTAATTTTTGATTAGTAATATGCATTGCTAAGAACTTTTGATTTTTTTGCACCCTCAGATTCCAGATTTTCAAATAGTTGAATCTCGGCCAAATATTGTCCTATCCTAACAAACCATACATCAATGGAAAGCTTATTTATTATCAGATTATGTATAAATCTCAATTTCAAAAAATTGACCTTTATGACTGGTTTTGTGGTCCAGGGTCACATTTAGTCTTTTGACAACTTTTAAAGGTGTCTGTGACATATACAGATTGAAAATGCAGTGACGTACATAATTATTGAAAAGTTGGGGGTCAGATTCAGAGTCTCTGATGCTCACCAAAGCTGCTTTTATGAAATATTATTACAATTTTAAAGAACTTTATTCCTTAGATGACAAAGCTGAATTTTCAGCATTATTTCTCCAGTCTTCAGTGTCACGTGATCCTTCAGAAATCATTCTAAAATGATGATTTGCTGCTCAAGAAACATTTATTATTATTATTATTGTTGAAAACAGTTGTGGTGCATCTAAAGGTCTCCGTGGGCAGGATCAAGGACACGGGTCGTCCAGTCCATCCACTCTCACTCACACACTCAGAGGAATAAAGATGGACCTGCTCGCAGCCAAACTTTGCATAACCTGTCAATTGAAGTAGAAGCTGTTCTGGTTTATTTATACATCCCTGACTGGTCAGTTATTTGTTTGGCAGAGTGTCCTTGTTTGTTATAAATGGGACAAACCTGTCACTTCAGTGCTGACTGGATGTTTTGAGTTCTTTGAGAGATTTTCTTTTTCATATTTATTAATTTATTTTGACTTTTTTTCAGAGCGAGCGAGCAGTGAATAATGCATTGGATTCTGCTCCATGTACTGTTTTTGTCATTAGCATTCAGCCCCAGTTATCTTCCGAACTTATGAGTGCCTGTGAAATGTTTGTGATGTTATTTATTTATGTTGCCCTCTCAATTATTCATTTGTTTATTTATTCATGGCAGAACTAACTGCAATTGGAAAATTCATTTTTGCTGAAGGGCACATCCATCCTTTCCCCCACCACCACCACCACACCTCAATCTGCTCTCCCTCACTCTTGCACATCAGGTTTGTTAAGAACCGCTTCATGTGGCATTTCCTAAGACTCAAGGGGAGATGTCATTTTAATCCAAGCAGACGACTGGAGAGATGGGAGAGACAGACACAGAGAGAAAGAGAAATAGAGTACTTCATCTGAAAAAACTTTGCTCTATAAGGGTGATGGTGCAGGATTATAGAGAGGCATTTAATGAAAGAGGGATGAATTTGGTAGACTTTATATATCACGTCTCTGTGCCACAGACTTGTTTCATACTGAATTCCCTCAGGCCTCTGTGCTTTCCTGCTTTTTCTGCCCATTCCTTTCCTGCTCTGTTGTCATATATACACACTATATGGACAAACGTATTGGAATGTATTGGTTTTTCAATTAGACCCATTGGCATAGGTGCATAAGATGAAGCATCTAGCCATGCAGTCTGCATTTGCAAACATTTGTGGAAAGAAAATGGGATGCCACCTTTGCAACTTTTTACTGTATCAAATAAATGCAGCTTTTGTGAGCATAAGGGACTTCTTTCAAAAACATTTAAAAATCTTAATTATTCCACACACGTGATAAAATGTGATCAAAATTGCCATATTGCTTTACCATAAACTTACAATTGAATATTGTCATTTGTTTGACTGTGGCGTGTTTAGCTGGCAGAGCAGATGCAGCATGTCTTGTCTAGGGAAGAGGAGGTCGTGTCCCTGCAGAAGGAGGTCAGCAGACTTCAGGAGATCCTGAAACAGAGAGAGGAGGTGATAGAGAAGAACAAACACAACACGGCACAGCTCCAGCGAGAGACAGACTCCCTTTACAAACAGGTAAACACACACACACACACACTAAAAGTCACAAATTGGCCCGGTCTGGGTATTGAGACCTGAAAAAGATCTAGAGTAAGCGTGGGTTTGTTGTGGTGTTGTGGTGAAGTGCTTGAGTGTGTTTAGCTGAAGGGTGTTTGTGAGCGCACTCACGTGTAATATTTCCTGTCTGCTGCATCGACAATCCACACTTAGACATGGAATTCCAATTAACTCCCTTTAATTAGGCCCTCCCTTGCTCATGGCACAGTTCCTTCATTTATTTTAATCTTGTTTATGCAACTTGATTGTTTCACAATATAGATTTTTTTAATTAGGCAAGATTGATTAAATTGCATTGATTCTCTGTCCTTATTAAAATGACCCCCCCACCCCCACACACGCACACACACACACACACACACACACACACACACACTCTACTCTCTCCAAACCAGTGTTATTTTTCATAATTAGTGCCTGTGCTTTCAGCTTGGTTTTAGGTGTGTGTATGTGTGTGTGTGGTATGAAAATAATGTTTATCATACTTTATTACAGCATCTGAAAAACTGTTGTAGTGGCAGCCACTTTATGAGTCAGTAGAAGTTTCATTAAATGGTTGTGTGCTATTTATTAGTCAGATTTATTAGTTTCCTAGCAAATAGCTCCTAAATACATTAAACAAAACTATACAATATGTTTGTTTTATTTATGTATTTATTTGTTTGTTTGTTTTTGTATTGGTTTTTATTTGTGTTTGTTTGTTAGTTTTGTTTTGTTTTTTTGTATTGTTTTTTGTTTTGTTTTGTTTAGTTTTTTTTTGTATTGTTTTTTGTTTTGTTTTGATTTGTTTTGCAACCTTTGAATTTCTTGCTGGATTTTAAAGTGGACTCAAACATCTTATTAGTGTCTCAGTGCACATTACATTCACACTGGCATTTAATAATAATAATGCCTCAAATTACAAAGATGAAGACAGAAATATATTACAGTTGTACTGTAAAATAAAAAACAGAACATTTAATGATAATTACGATAATAATCTCATTTAAGCTTCAAGTTCTTCATGTCCAAACCCTTGAACTTTAAACATTTCAAATCCCTTTGCTTTTTATTTTTGCAATACTATAATTTTCTGTCCACAGAAATATTGGATATTGTGCAAATGTGTAAATAAATAAAACCTAATGCATGTTGCATTCCAAAATGCACATTCAACTCGCTGCACAAGCAGACATAAAGTTCACTGCATTTAATGTAAACCGTGCCTCTCTGAGATTGATCGTATTGTGCAGCCACATTTATTTATTTAAACTTTACATTCAGTATAATTAATTATTAGCTTCTCATCAACAAAACCCAGTTTTGGAAAAACCTGACCTAGACAATACCCAGAAAACCCCTGAAAGCACATGTGCTCAGAAACACCTTAGCAACTACATACCAACCACCTACAAAAGCTTTAGGCCCATTCACACCTAGAACAATAACTATAAAGATAACCAATAACTTCATTAGTATCCACATCAATGGATGATAACATAGCGTTTCTTATAAGTGCACACTGAATGTATGTCATCTGTTTCTTTAAATGCTCAAGCTTCTTAAAGTCAGGTGGATTCTGATTGGCTGTCAATGTTTTTATCATCCAATCAGCTGAAAAAAAAACTATTATTATCCTTATGATGTGGACGTCTCTATTCTCATAGAATTAGATTGATTATTAGATCAAACTTTAAAGTCATAGTTATTGCCCTTGGTTGAAAAGCAGGCCTTTAGTGACTTGTTGGCTCGTTTTGCACATCAGGAAGCATTGATTTTATTTACAAAATGTGAAAATGTATTTTCTTTCATGGTGGCATTAGATTATTGTTATAGCAAATGCTGACTGCTTGTGTAACACTTGAGGTCCTCTAGAAGATCCAGTGCTTCTCAACCTCCTGCTGTCTGCTTCACCTGATAAACACTTGATGCTGATCCGTAGAATTTTTAATCATGAAGCTCAGCTCTTTTAATTTTGATCGATGACTCCGTTTATCCTTTACATAACACATTCCCGTCTCTGTTCTAGCCCTCCACCTCTCTCTGCACCCCTCCGCCTGGTATGAAAATGATATTAGAAACTAAATGAGATTTGAAATTGTGTGTTTGACAAGTGACTTGATGACAGGGTTTTATTGCAGGGCCTGATCCATGGAAATTTTATGCTAATAACACTGCTGGCCAACCGATCTAGTACGAAATTAATCAGTGGTGGAAAAGAACGAGAGCGCTCCATAAAAAGTGTGTCTACCCTCCTCTCTCTCTGTCAGTCTAAATCTCATCTGAAATAGCCACAGGCTGTTGTCTGTGTGATGAGTTTGCGACTGAAATAGGGACTTAGAAAATTAGACTGAGCTTAGCACTAATTCATGCTGTAATGCCGCCACGTGACACACCGCTGTCAACTCCTTCCAAGGACTCAACAAGGTGCACTCAGTAATTTTTAGTTTATGTTGCTTTGGCCCACATGTCACCTTGAGCTTATACTGACACCTAGAGGTGTGGATGCAGTATCCCGCAGAAGTTTTCAATTACTGATGCCATTGTTCTAAAACTGCTCCAAATGAAGAATTATAGAAATAAAGTCAGTAGAATTGCTGGTAGATAGCTGGTCATGTGAACATGTCGGCCAAGATTAGGCGACCAACTCAAAAATCAAAATATTCAATATTCAAGATCAAAAATATTTGATTAGGCTGCTGACACACATGGAGTCTTCATCTCATTTTTCAAAACTCCTATTAATTTCAATATTCGTTGACTTCTCTGAAAGCTTCATTCATTTGTCTAAAAAATTTCAACAATATAGGATAGTGTGATATAGAAATCTATATTCACGAGTCTACATTAATAGAATAGAATATGAATTATTAATGATAATACTCATAATAATAATGTATTATGATATAAAGAGTCTACTTTTGAATAATAATAATAATTCATAAATCATTATTAATGATAGTAATGTGTATTATTATTATTAATGAAAAGTAGACTATATAATAATAATAATAATAATAATAATAATAATAACAATAGTAATAATAATAATAAGGATGATGATGAAAAGTAGACTCTTAATATATAAGAAGGAGAAGAGTATTATACATTATTTATTTATTTTTTAAATTCACTTTTTGTCTCATGATTAAATTTATATTTGGAATTATGTTCAAACTGATCCTGAAGTATAAGCTTAGATAATAATAATAAATAAGAATCACCTTTTAACTACACAGTTTTCTGCAATTTTGATTCCTGTTTATGCATTTATGTCTGTGTCTCATTTAAAAAGTTGGGATTAATGTGCCTTTTCTGCAGTGTAAATCAATTTAGCTGACCAATCAGACAGCCTCAAAGTATCAAACGTCCACATTTTTCTTGTGGTTGTCAAACCTCACCTTGCCTTTACCACCTTTTACTAGTTTACATCAACTTAAGAAACATTCATATTCTCTCCTTCCCTCTGCTTGCTTGCTTCATTTATCCCGTTCATCTGTCAGCGGTTTTCTCACGTGCATGTCCATGTTACTCGTCCCGGCTCGATTCCAAGGAAACAGAAGCGTTGGTGAATCACTAATGGAGTCATTATCAGCTTCCACTCTTTTAAAACAACACAATTAGTGGTGTAGTCTTAATGATGCTTGCAAGGGAAGTTAGGTGCACTGAGGAGACTCCATCCAGGGCCTTCACCAAGCCCAATAAATCACGCAAGTTAACTCACAGAACTAATATACCGCATGTGTGTGCACAGTAGCCTGTGTGATTTATTATTTTCACCCTGCGAGACATCTGTTACAGTGCTTCTTATGTTTGTAATGCATCATCAGCCAGGGGAAAAATAATATTATCCAATCTGGGATCTCTCTGGAGTCTAATAATCTAATGTAGAGCTGCTATCAGTGAGGCACCACAGACACGCTTCAGGGAGCAAACAGGCTTCGCTGATTTCTGTCTGAGAATCTCTAGTATTCATTATATATGCCAGCCTGTGACTGCAGATGTGAGTCTGTTAATATGGAGTAATAATAGGATGCTTCTGACTCTACTAATTAACTAATTAAGAATGCTGTAGTGAATATCAGCACGGCTATGATTCGAGTACACAGGAAATATTGTAAGTGTGCTTTTATATAATAGTTTTGTGAATCAGAAATGAGAAGTAACTTACCAACAAAATTTGGCAAGTTTGTGTATTTATTTTTTTTGATAATAAAAAAAGTCCAAGCATCAAGCTTTGCGTGTCACCCAGTCCCACAAGGATTTTGTGGGACTTTTCTTCTGATTTTCGCAGCCCAAAATTCTCAAAAAATTGTCGTGATATTTGCAGCATTATTTTTTTAATTTGCAGTGAAAACCGACCAATAACTATTATGTACTTATTAGCATATATATTCCAAAGAAGCCAAAGCAAAGCTTTGCATGTCACACGGTCCCACCAGGATTTTGCTGGACTTTGATTTTTGTGGCTTCAGATTTCAGAATTTTCTTTCCTAAAACATCGTCAGCATCTTTGTGTTGTTTTGCAGTGAAAACTAGCATGGAAATGATTATAATTCTGCTTTGCTGAAAATACAGAATTGTGTTAAACACAATAGTTATCACAATGTCACTGAATCTGTACAGTATGTAATCAGTAAATATTTGCCCCAATGTACATTATATTCTGCATTAGTTTAATAGTGTCGTTAAAGCTCTAGAAACTTTCATTTCGCCCCACACAGGTAACACGGAAATTAAAACAAAAAGTTGGATCACTTGCACCGTTGCATTTCTATTGCACGGTCCTTTTACAGTGGATTTTTTTTACAATGGAATCCACTGCAGTAGAGCGGCAGGACAGTTGAATACATATTGATTCAGTTGCATGGGCTCAGATTTATGAATTTTGCCATAAATTACCATTCCATCAGTTATTTGTCGACATTAGAGATTTTTAGAAGGTATCAATATGGGTTGATAGTACATTAATGAGGAAAAAAAAAATAACTGAAATGATTTTAGCAAATGGCTGCAATATCACAAAGAGTGAAAAATTTAAGGGGGTCTGAATACTTTCCGTACCCACTGTATATATATATACTGTATAAACTATATGTCCACTCAATATGTAATTGTGCTGCACATTTTCCCTATCTTAACATTTAGATCACCTTAGCCATCATTTAGCTCACTTAAAGGTAATCTTTAAAAAGATTAATAATTTGAAAACAATGTGAAATGTCATCTTTAGAAAATGAATAACCATTTTTTATTCTGCAGATTATAATGTTGTGATGTCTATATTTCAATTTAAAAAGTTTTAGTTTTTAGTGTTTTATTGTTCGTTTGTTTAGACATAATAATCATACAGAATTTTAATATTGGCAATAACTTATTATAAATTATGAGCTCATCAACCTGAATTTCAATTTCGGTGCGTTACTATTTCATTCCAGTTCCTCACCACTCACATACTCTGATCTGGGACGCCACAAACACAGACAAGAGAAGTATAGACATAAAGAGTGCTGTTACAGTATTTATTAGCACTCTTGAAACGCCATTGTCACGTAACAGCTTGTAGATTAATCCAAAGCGGAGAGCGTGACACAGAACGATTGAGATTCATGAAGACTTTAATGAAAACACAAAGCAAAGATACACATACACTTTAAACACTGACGTTAATGCAAAACATTGAACCGAAGAAACAGAGGGCTTTCATACACTGAAACCGGTAATTAACGAAACAGGCAACAGGTGTGTAACTAATGAGAAAATGTGGTAACAAATGAACGAGAGCAGAGACAATGAAAACCATGACCTGGAAACTAAACAGAACATGATAATGAAACTATAAAACTGAACAAGATGTGTTCGTGACAGCTACTGTGTTTTAGACCGTTCCACTGTTATATTTGCTGTAACACTTTCATTTAGGGACCAGTTCTCACTATTAAAGGGGTCATAGGATGCCCATTTTCCACAAGTTGATATTATACTTTAGGGTCTTAATGAAAAGTCTGTAACATAGTTTGGTTAAAATTTCTCAATGGTAGTGTCAAAAACACCTTTTTTACCCTGTCAAAAACAGCTCTTTTCAGATCAAGCCGTTTTTGTAGCATTTTCCTTTAAATGTTAATGAGCTCTGCTGACCCCGCCCCTCTCTTCCGAGCTGCTCTCTGAGAGACTATTTACTTTGTTTACTTTAGCCGCATTCATCGTGAAACTTGCTAATCAGCACATTATTAGGAAAGGCGATTTGCAAAGATTCATTACAAAACATTATATTCACTTCTTCTGTAGATGAGGCTGGATCACGAATGATTTGCACGAACATAGACGCGTTTATGTAGATCGGGGGCGCATTCCCTTCAGAAACAATATAATCCACTGCGTCTTCAGCGGCTCAGATGTCGGGAGTAAATGACGACTGCTATGTTCATTATTACATCCAACAACAGAACACCTCAATCGCTTAGGAGTCATTCTTGTCTACATCTGCTCCAGCGGTGAAACAATGGTGGACTGATGACAGTCACTCAGGGCGGAGCTAAGGTAAGACGCCAGTCCAGTGTGTGCTGAAACACTACTGTCAATCAAACTATCGTGGGAGGGGCCTGTCTGTGTGACATCACAGGGACAGGCATCTGAGATCGGCTCGATTTGAGAAAGGGGAAAACATTTAACCAGATTTAAAAAAAAACACTGGGTGGATTTGTATCATTATAGTGTGGTTGTGTACACACACTGCCAACACACATTTCAGCTCAAACAACTTGTAAAAGTGCATGTAGCATCCTATGACCCCTTTAACTAGTTGCTTATTAACATACCAGAAAAACCTTTACAATGTTTATCACAAGTACATTTAAATAATCTTTTAGAATAGGGAACACATATTCACTATTAACTAAGAGTTTTCCCTTAATAAACTCCTAATTTGCTGCTTATTAATAGTTAGCAAGGTAGTTGTTAAATTTAGGTATTGGGTTAAGGGATCTACAACATGGCCATGCAGAATAAGGCATTAATTTGTGCTTTATAAGTACTAATAAACAGCCAGCATGCTAATAAGTAACTAGTTAATAGTGAGAATTGGACTTTAAAATAAAGTGTTACTTAATCTTGTCTTTTTCTCTAAAGTCAATTTTACAAAATGTTTGTTTTTATTATATTGTATTTATGATATTGTGTTGTTGAATGTTTAATTTGTATATACCATGTAATGCCGATACATCTGCCGATGAAGCTGATATGGCAATAAATGTAAATACAACCAACCGACCAGCTTATTAAGATGCATATTACTAGCATATTGGTTGTTTATTAGCACAAATGAATGCCTTATTCTGCATGTGCATATTTTAGATCCCTTAATCCTACTCGATACCAAAACTTGACAACTATCAATAAACTCCTAATTTGTTGCTTAACAAGTTTATTGAGGCAAAAGTAGTTAATAGTGGGAATTGGTCCCCAAACTAAAGTGTGACCTATTTTTAAATTTGCATTTTGAATTATATTTTCTGTTTTCATTTTAATTATAGTTAGAGATTTTGTTATGTGTTTTTTGTTATTTCTATTTTTGTTAATATGTCTAGATAGTTTTTATTTCAGTTTTAGTATACAACTATAATAACCCTTGGCTGTTCGGTTGATTTGAACATTTTGACACACTTATGGTGTTCAAAAATGCTATCAAGGTAGCCTCGATAGCTTTTTCACGCTGTCAAGCACAATAGGTTTTGAAGCACGGTCTGTTTATTGCTCATTTGCGTTGTCTGCTGTGTGTCAGTGTAAAGTTCAAAAGGATGAGCTGTGTGATCTGCGAGAGGAGGTGCAGGAACAGAAGGAGAGCCGGGTGAAGGAGGTGCAGGCCCTTAAGGAAGAGCTGCAGAGCACACAAAGTCATCTGCAGCAGCACAGAGATAACCTGGAGAGTCTGTGCCGAGAGCTGGAGATGGCCCACAGACAGCAGAGAGACACGGAGGACGAGGTGAGACAGCTCAGCAGACTTAACTTTCACTATATCACAACTTCTGCTTCTAAATGTAAGTGTTTGTGTGTGTCAGGTCTCCGGCAGGGTGGCAGCTCTCCGCAGTCAGGATGCAGAGTTGATTCAACTAAAGGTAGGTCTACTGGAAGCTGAGAAACTGGCCACAGACGCAGAGGCACGACTGCAACCTCTTAGCGAATCCCTCGAGTTCTGCAAACACAAGTACCAGGCCTGCCTCAGCAAGATCGCACAACTAGAGAACACACTGCATGGCCGCGAGGAGGACCTGAAAGAGGCCCACAGTCAGGTTGGTACTTAAATTAGTTTTAGTTTAGTTTAGTTTTAGCAACTGCAGAGTATACTGGTTTTGACTATATTTCATGTAATATTAATCCTTATTCTTTCCAGTTTGCAACAGAATATCCTTTTTCTGTTGAAAGTTTCTTTTGTACTGTGCAATAAAATCTATTTTTAATCAGCCATAACATGAAAATAATTATTTGAAAAGCTATGTAGTTGTACTTCTACTCTAAAACAATACCTTCCAGTGTACCAGAAATTAGAAATTAATTTTTCTTTAAAAATTCATATTTTTATTCAGCGATAAATTGATCAAAATTGACATTAGAGACATTTATATGGTTAAAAAATTCTGTACTTATGAACTTTCTATTCGTCAAAAGTATCACAGTTTCCACAAAAATATGAAGCAGCACAAGTGTTTTCACCACTGATAATAATATGAAATATTTTAAATAAATAAATAGATGTTGAAGATGTTGTTATATATATATTACCTTTTTTCATTTTTAATAAAAAAGATAAAAGGAAAAGAAAAGGTATTTACAAATATGATATCATTATTATATCAAGACAGTTGGATCAGCCTGACTTTACTATATACTTGTTTTTTTAAAGCTATTAATAATGATGATATTAGTAATGGGGATGTTTTCACATATATTTGAATTGTATTACCTTTTTATTTACCTATATTGTAAAGAAAAAATTATAGTTCGGAGGTTGCTAGTTTCAAAAGTTCCAAATTTGTATCACACAGTAGCATTTATTTGTTATTATTTCAGTCTGCGGTGTCTGCTTGAAATAATGGGCATTGCTTTCAGCGGTGGAGGGACAGGCCTTGTCTACAGCCCAGCGGTCATCTCTGTCGGATACAGTGCATACTAGGTGTGAGGACCTTCCTGCTCTACCTTCCCGTGCCTTTTTCTCCTCAAGCACCTCCGGCTTCTCCTCTCAGATACCTGTGATGCCCAGCGTCCCATTAACAATCCCTAAACATCACACTCATACATGCTATATTGATCCAGCTGTTTTCAGGCAGAACCTCAGAGTCAGAACAGACACGTCCTTCAGCCGTTCACCCATGTCTCCTTCCCGTATGTGTAAGCTCCCCTTAAGTGTTCCCGCTCACTCAAAACCTGCTGGGCTGTCGGCATTGCAGCACATAACCTTCACCAGAGTGAGAAGGAAAGCTTCCTTTATCTGTGATTGTGATGTAAAACAATCACGTCAGTCAATCGCCTCACCTCATCATCTTCTCAGTGGAAGCTGTCGACCGTAATATACTCGTAGACAGACTGCTGTGTAGCACTCTCTGAGATGATCCTCAGCTGGACTAGGGGCCTTCTAACTATTTTAATACAACTATTGTAAGTGTTAGTTCACTCAAACATGAACTTGTTGTCATTTACTCACCCTCATGACCTATCAAACCTGTATGACTTTCTATCTTCTGTGGAACACAAGTGTTGAATGTGCAGGTTGTTCTTTCCATAGAATTATAAACTGGGACTGATGCATTCAAGAAAGATTCAAGAAAAGTGCAAATGCATCATAAAAGTATCCTAAAAGAGGTCTGTAAGTCTTCTGAATTGATATAATAGCTTTGTGTGTGATTTTAGTCATTATTTATCAATAATCTTCCACTCTAGTGGACTGTTATCCACTCATTGAGTCAACTGAGGAACTGAATCAGTCTCATTTCTAAACAAATCATTCAGATCGGTTTTGTCTACTCTGACCTGAAATGAACATTTCATTCATAAATTAGACATAGCTACTTCTCTCTTGCTACTTCTTTCTTTTGCAGAACACAAAAGAAGATATTTTGAATAATCCATCAGTTACCATTGACTTCTGTTGTATGGACAAAAAAAACACAGTGACATTTCTCATATATCTTCCTTTATGTTACACAGAACAAAGAAAGTCAATAAGAATGGAATCACATGGGAGTGAGTCAGTTTTTTTTTTTTTATGAACTATCGCTTTAAGCACATTTTTTTTATTATTTATTTATTTATCATTCATTTATAAGTCTTTTATAACTTTTATTATTAATTTTAGTCCCCTTAAAATTAACGTAGGGTCTTAATTTTGTTTTGATTAGATGTCTGATAATGTTATGTCTATTTCTTGTTTATATTGTGCCTAAGGCACTATAATTATGATAATAATGTTTAATTTATACAGCGCCTTTCCCAACTCAAGGACGCTGCACAATGACAAAAGCAAATAAACAATCATGTTATACATAGATGGACAAGACATTTGCCAAGTCCAGAACATGCGGTTGCGGTTGCAGTTGTAAAGTATCCTAAAAGAGGTCTGTAAGTCTTCTGAATTGATATAATAGCTTTGTGTGTGATTTTAGTCATTATTTATCAATAATCTTCCACTCTAGTGGACTGTTATCCACTCATTGAGTCAACTGAGGAACTGAATCAGTCTCATTTCTAAACAAATCATTCAGATCGGTTTTGTCTACTCTGACCTGAAATTTCATTCATAAATTAGACATAGCTACTTCTCTCTTGCTACTTCTTTCTTTTGCAGAACACAAAAGAAGATATTTTGAATAATACATCAGTTACCATTGACTTCTGTTGTATGGACAAAAAAAACACAGTGATATTTCTCATATATCTTCCTTTATGTTACACAGAAGAAAGAAAGTCAATAAGAATGGAATCACATGGGAGTGAGTCAGTTTTTTTTTTTTATGAACTATCGCTTTAAGCACATTTTTTTTATTATTTATTTATTTATCATTCATTTATAAGTCTTTTATAACTTTTATTATTAATTTTAGTCCCCTTAAAATTAACGTAGGGTCTTAATTTTGTTTTGATTAGATGTCTGATAATGTTATGTCTATTTCTTGTTTATATTGTGCCTAAGGCACTATAATTATGATAATAATGTTTAATTTATACAGCGCCTTTCCCAACTCAAGGACGCTGCACAATGACAAAAGCAAATAAACAATCATGTTATACATAGATGGACAAGACATTTGCCAAGTCCAGAACATGCGGTTGCGGTTGCAGTTGTAGTTGCATACCACAGTAATAATACAGTATCATAATCACACACACACAAAAAAAGAGAGAATAACAGGTAATATTGGTTGAACATATAGGTTTTGAGTTTAGGAGTGTGGTTATTTTCTGAAGAGCCAGGGGCTATGTGTTCCAAAGTTTGGGAGCCATACCAGAGAAAGACCTACCTCCCATAGATAATAGATTTATTTATCATTCATTTATAAGTCTTTTATAACTTTTATTATTAATTTTAGTCCCCTTAAAATTAACGTAGGGTCTTAATTTTGTTTTGATTAGATGTCTGATGATTTTATGTCTATTTCTTGTTTATATCGTGCCTAAGGCACTATAATTATGATAATAATGTTTAATTTATATAGCGCCTTTCCCAACTCAAGGACGCTGCACAATGACAAAAGCAAATAAACAATCATGTTATACATAGATGGACAAGACATTTGCCAAGTCCAGAACATGCGGTTGCGGTTGCAGTTGTAGTTGCATACCACAGTAATAATACAGTATCATAATCACACACACACAAAAAAAGAGAGAATAACAGGTAATATTGGTTGAACATATAGGTTTTGAGTTTAGGAGTGTGGTTATTTTCTGAAGAGCCAGGGGCTATGTGTTCCAAAGTTTGGGAGCCATACCAGAGAAAGACCTACCTCCCATAGATAATAGGCGAAATCTCGGAACACAAAGAAGTTCATCTCCAAATGATCGAAGTGAACGAGAGGGAATGTATGGAGAAAGCAGGTCAGAGAGATAGGTAGGTGCAAGAACATGGAGTGACTTAAAGGTAAGCAGAAGAATTTTATAAATGATATGAGAGGACACAGGTAGCCAGTGGAGGTTGAACAGAATAGGAGTGATATGTGCAGACCGTTAAGTGTAAATTAGCATTCTTGCAGCAGAATTTTGAATATATTGCAATGGAGATGAGTAATGGTAATCCGGGAAAAAAGAGCGTTACAGTAATCAAGGCGGGATGTGATTAAAGCATGTACTAGTAATTCAACATCTTTTGGGCTGATGAAGGAACGAAGTTTGGCAATACGGCGAAGTTGAAAAAATGCAGCTTTGGAGAGCTTACCAATATAAGCATCTAGGTTTAAAGAAGAGTCAAGAATGATACCTAAGGTTTTAACTGAGGCAGATGGAGCAGTTGTAGTTGCATACCACAGTAATAATACAGTATCATAATCACACACACACAAAAAAAGAGAGAATAACAGGTAATATTGGTTGAACATATAGGTTTTGAGTTTAGGAGTGTGGTTATTTTCTGAAGAGCCAGGGGCAATGTGTTCCAAAGTTTGGGAGCCATACCAGAGAAAGATCTACCTCCCATAGATAATAGGCGAAATCTCAGAACACAAAGAAGTTCATCTCCAAATGATCGAAGTGAACGAGAGGGAATGTATGGAGAAAGCAGGTCAGAGAGATAGGTAGGTGCAAGAACATGGAGTGACTTAAAGGTAAGCAGAAGAATTTTATAAATGATATGAGAGGACACAGGTAGCCAGTGGAGGTTGAACAGAATAGGAGTGATATGTGCAGACCGTTAAGTGTAAATTAGCATTCTTGCAGCAGAATTTTGAATATATTGCAATGGAGATGAGTAATGGTAATCCGGGAAAAAAGAGCGTTACAGTAATCAAGGCGGGATGTGATTAAAGCATGTACTAGTAATTCAACATCTTTTGGGCTGATGAAGGAACGAAGTTTGGCAATACGGCGAAGTTGAAAAAATGCAGCTTTGGAGAGCTTACCAATATAAGCATCTAGGTTTAAAGAAGAGTCAAGAATGATACCTAAGGTTTTAACTGAGGCAGATGGAATAATTGATGTGGCTTTGAGGTCAAATCTAGGGGCATTTGTTATGTTTTTTGTTACAGTTGGGGGCCCGACAAGTAAGATATCTGTTTTAGTCAAATTCAAACTGAGAGAGTTGGAGCTAAGTCAGGTCTTTAACTCATTGACGCATGACAATAGAGATGCAGTCTGGTGAATAGAGTCAGGTCGGCAGGAAGTGTATATCTGAATATCATCGGCATAGCAGTGGTATATTAAACCATGGTGGCGAATAATTTGTCCGAGAGGCATAATATAAATGATAAATAATAATGGCCCTAGGACTGAGCCCTGTGGCACACCCTGTTTAAGCGGGACAGAGGGAGATTTATATTATGTATGGTGATGTAGTATTGTCTGTCCATCAAATATGAGGAAAACCAGGATATTGCAGCTCCTGAGATGCCAATCTCTGAGAGGTGCATGAGTAATAGCTTATGAGAGACAGTATCAAAAGCTGAACTGAGATTGAGTAGTAAAAGTATAGAAAGATTGCCCAAATCACCAGAAAGGACGAGGTCGTTTATAACCCTTACTAGAGCAGTTTCAGTACTGTGTTGCGAAACCTGACTGAAATATATCAAAGTGTTCATTGAAAGCTAGAAATGACTGCAATTGAGCAGCAACAACCTTTTCCATGATTTTTGAAACAAACGGTAGGTTGGGAATTGGACGATAATTAGTGTAATCAGTTGGGTCTAGATTTGGCTTTTTAAGAATAGGAGTAACAGCAGCAGTTTTAAGTGAAACTGAAACAGTGGCAGAGGTAAGAGACATGTTTACAAGATGTAAAATTGGAGCAGAAATGACAGATGTGCAGTGTTTCAAAAGGAATGTTGAATGTTATCATACTGGCAATTATAAATTGCCAGTATGATATGTGCAATGTAACCTTCCTTTCTTTTCCTAGCTCGTTGTTTTATGTCTTTAACAGCAACAGACAGTGTAACATAATGAAACATTATCTTCATTAAGCCTGAGCCCATTTGGGATTGTTTCGTATTCAGTCTTCACTTCTGACAGCACTGTGCTGAACTGATTTATCTTTCTCAGAAGGAAAAACTTAACAGGCATTAGGGCCCGTTATCAGACCTTAACGACCGAAGAGAGGAAAATAGAGACCAGATCGAGGCTGATCTGTGGTTTTATATGCTCTTTTGCAGTTCAGAATAATAAATGCCCACTCTTTCTCTCCAGATTACTACTTATGTCCCTATTTTCTAGCTATTTTTAAAGGGATAATTTAACTAATTTCCAGGGTCATATGAGAAATCAGAAAACTATGGGGCATGTAATAAACTGCATTATCCTGGTTTATGAATATTAATTAGGTGATAGATCATTTGTCACCTAATTAATATTCAGTAGTCTTAACTAAAAGACAGGTAAATGGGCACTACTGGGCTGTGAGGTTATTCAAGATATATGTTTTATGTGTTCCCTAGGACTGAAACCCATGACCATCGTGTTTCTAGAGCCCATGTAATTACAGGAAGACAATTCTCAGGTTTATTGCCCCCTAAGTTATGATTATGTAAATAGCCTGTTGTTTTATATGAATTTAAATCAAAAAAATGTCTGAGAGCTGAGTGTGTATGTGTTTTCTAGGCTGAAGAGCGGGAAGAGATGGTAGTGAAGACACAGGCTGATTTTTCCATCTACCGGGCCACTCACGTTCACTCCGACTCAGACTACGGATCTCTGCTGTCCCGCGTTCAGGAACTAGAGCACGTGAGTGAAGGACTATCATTGTTTGTCTTTGTAGTTGAAGGAAACACTGCATGCTACTCTCACATCTGCATGGATCCATCACGGTAATCTCTGCCTGTTACAAAAATGGGCTTTAAATGGACCCACCTGCTCCCCATGTCATACGTTACTGTATGCATTGACACCGTGCAACTTGGGGACTATTTATCAGGCTTTGATTGAATCCAGAGAGGCTTCGTACAAGTTCATGGGCACCTTTGTGACTAATTGTTTGTTATGTCAGAGTGGCAGCGAGCCATCCAGCTTTAATGGAGTGTAGTGGAGCGATCCATCAGGCTGTCGGGAGATCGCACGTCAGCATTTCGTCGCACTCTACGCCAACAGCAACGTGATTTAGTGCCCCCCTCGCGCCACTGCCCACCCGCTCCCCCTTCTCAGATTGATTACCCTTCTGTCCCGCTGACAGTGCCCACCATCTTCTGGCAACCTTTTAGCAGGGTTTTATAGATGATTCGAGCACCTCGTTTGGCTATTTATACATCTGTAAGTGGCCATGAAATATAGATTTGTCTTGACACATGTTGGCGTTGGAGCGGCGAGTCCCAGCGCCTCGTGACACCTCGTTATTTTAATGGTGCCAAACGAAGGGCCCCCAACCTTGCCCGTGTTTGCTGATTATGCCTCTGCTATATTAGTTTCACAATCAGATCTCGCTAAAACCTGTCCCGTTTGCATGCAGCAGACAGACACATGGCGTCGAGAGCACGGGTACGTGTTACCACCGCCGTGACACACTGGTTCACCTGTCAGAGCCGTGACATGTGAGCGCAACCAGTTCCCAGGGTAATCAGCATCCCTGAGACTTAATTGAATGGTTAGCGCGTCAAAAACGCAGGCTGCCAGATTGGAGGTGACACCTGTCAGGGACAAACCGGGTATTTGCTTTGTGTCGAAACCTCAGCAGGCGTATTACGCAGTTGGGATGCTAAATGAAGGCCAGACTGGAGTCGAAGAGGCAAGCGGAAGCAGTGGGCGTAGCGATAGCCTTAGGGATGGAGACAGCTCGGGGGAGAGGGGGAATTCTTATCCGCCTTAGGTCGGCCCCTCCAGCGCCCCGGGCATCAACACGACTTCCCCAAGGCACAGTCACAGAAGTTTGACAGCTGTGTGACGACTTCGCATGTTAGTGGAGATGTGTGTGTGTGTTTGTCCTTAGGCACTGTTCCAGTCGCTGGAGCGCTGCGGTCAGAGCGCCCAGGAATTGCGGGTCTGCCAGCTGGAGTTGGCACGGCACCGAGATGCCAGTTCGGCAGGTGAGTGAACTCGCAGTTCACTTTCTCACTCAATTCTCACACTGATTCCAATCAGCCGTGTGTTTTGCAGAGGTGCAGCGTCTGCAGGAGCAGGTGAGAAAGCTCCAGGCGGATGCAGCTGATGAGGGCCGGAGACAAGCACAAGTTGATTCTCTGGAACAGAAGGTAGCTAGTCTGGAAGGAGAACTACTGGCAGCTCAAAGGCAGTGTGACCAGGTAAACAAGTATACACACACTGTATGTACAGATCAGATATGCTTTGCCTGTAGCAGATTCTCACAGTCACTCTCTCTCAGGCTATCCAAAAGAGAGACGCCCTACTTAGACAATCCGAGGCTGATCTTCTGCAGGCGCGGGAGAAGATCCGAAGCAAGGCGGCGGAGGCAGAGAGGCAGGCCGTCTCTGCTCGAGGGCTAGAAGCTGATCTGCAAAGAGCCAAGAAAGAGAAAAGGCAAAGGGAGAATCAGTGTGCCTCACTCAAAACACAGATGCTTCAGCTCAGAGAACAACTGAAGGAGGATCACGCCACCTGCAGGGACACAGGTAACACAGAGCAGAACACCTGTAGAACTTTTATGGTGGATTGCCATGATGTAAATAATTCTAAAAAGCGTAGAGTATACTTTATGCTCTGAGAAGATTGGCTGAAACTGCAAATACAGCAGCCCCAAGGAGTATTTGGACACCTAAGCCAAACTCGGTGCTGGGTAGATTACTTACAAATTGTAGTCAGTTAATGATAGCAAATTACATGACAAAAAAATGTAGTTATTAACATAAACAATTTAGGTAATATATTTTGACTACTTTTTGATTACTTTTGACCTAACTTGTTTTATCACGTTAATTTGGATAGGATAATCCATATTGTACCATATTGATATTGTACAGATAGAAATGGAACTGTAGCCTGATTATGAGTATTTTAAAATGTATTACACACTAAACTACACCTGTGTTTACTCTGATAGGACACATTCATTAAAAATCACATTCAATCTTGGGGCCAGCTGATTAAAAGTATTTGTTAAACTGGCTCAGAAAAGTACATTTGGTTCCAAGAAAGCTTGTTTCTTCCGTTTACTATCAAATGTGGTAGACGGAAACTCAAATGTGCTTGCTTAACCCGCAAGAACAAACCATGGGAATTCATTCTGGTCTAATTTGGTCATTTCAGCAGGGCAGTGATTTTCTCTTGATTTTGCAAGAGATAACCCATTGCATTTAAATCTGTGTGATAGAGCATGTGGGTTTGTCAGAATATGCATGTGCACCTGTTTGTGTTCTTCAGCAGTCTCCCGTCTGAAATTAAACAGCCCATCAATTCAGAGCCTCAAGCCATCAGATACATGCACATCTTCACACACACCACTATGGGAATGATGCTTGTTAGAAACAATATCCTCAACATAGATGAAGACGGGCAGATGTGGCCGTGGTATAACCTTGAAAGGGATTAGTATGAGTGACCACATATAATGAATTAGACTTAATGAAGTTTTGAATATATACATTTTTTATATAAGACTTATTCAGATTTATATAAGATTTATTCAGCAAGGATGCATGAAATTGATCATTGTCATTCCAGTCATTTAAGTGACATGTACAGATGTGTACACTGTAATAAATCAATCAATCTATCAATACATGCATGCTGTTTATTTTAACTTTCTATTCAGCAAAGAATCCTGAAATAAAATGCATTAGGGTTTCCAGTATATTAAATATTAAACAGTACAACTGTTTTCAACATTGATAATAATGAGAAATGTTTCTTGAGAAGCAAATCAGCATAATTGAATGATTTCTGAAGGATCAGGTGACACTGAAGACTGGAGTATGAGAAAAGACTGGATGATGCTGAAAATTCGGATTTCCCATCACAGGAATAAATGACATTTTAAAATACATTCAAATAGAACACAGTTATTGTCAATTGGAATAATATTCCATTATATTACTGTTTTAATGGTTTTTAAACAAATAAATGCAGCCTTCTTTTTCAAAAAACATCTTACAGACCTCAAACATTTGAACGGTAGTGTATATATTGTTATACGTATCCGGAGCTCTGATACTCTTGAAGTGAAATCATAAATGTTTTATATGTGTGTATGTTTCAGCTCAGGAGCTGACGCAGCAGCAGGAGAAAGTGCAGCTGTTGGAGAGGGGTCAGCGTCTGACTCAGGAGCAGCTCTCAGAGCGTGTGACGGAGATGGTGCAGGCAGAGAAAGCCCAGAGGAGACTCCAGGCCGAGCTCAAGAGAATAACAGACAGTCTGGAAAGCACCCAACATGAGCTGCAGGACTCACGGTAAACCCAAAACCAGGGGGTCAGCCTGGTCCAGTTAGCCCCTACTGGTAGATGCCACAACTACACAATTATCCGTGAAAAAATAGATGTCCATTCAAAAGTAACTATGTATTCTGACAAAACTGTTTGCAGCAACATACAATCATAGCAGTATTTTATTATAACTGACATTGCAGCTCAAGTCTTCATTTCCCTGTGACTACCTAAGTGATTAGTCACATGGTAATTACAACTCAACATATTGGCTCAAAAACAGTTCGGTAACACCTCTGAGCAAAAATGACAGCATGCAGGTTGCTTACTTTCTCAGCATTGACTGTTTTCCAGTGTGCTTGAATGCAGTTTGAGTGATTAGTTGGACAGCATAGTACAGCAGACAGCTCTCCAAACTAATTTCCTCAGGATGACACTCTCATATCACACTCATAGTAAGGCTGCTAGTGAAGCTATGAGACGATTAATCCAAATTTCTCAGCTTTATACTGCCTTCAAGTCATGTCTGAAGGATCGTATTTACCAGATGAGCGCACATGAACACCACCACAATGCCAGTATCACCAGTGGGAAACCCTGGATTTTCTTTGAGCCCTGATTTTCTGAGTTTGGGGCAGGTCTATTTTAGGCGTATTTCAAGGTAAATACAACTTAAGCTCTATGGATGGCAGCTGTCGATTACTAAAGAAAACTCTTTGGTCATTTAAAATGAAGGTAGTCATTTAAAACTACATTTTCCATGATGCTCTATGGTAGCCTGATAATAGAGTGCAACAGTCAGGATCCGGAAGTAAAATCCTATTAATTTTCTCCATAGGGGAATTGATTTTTAACTTTTACAGACAGGCCAACTGTGAGCGACGGTGTTGTTAATCGATGGAATATGCTTTTGTTGAAGCCATCAGTGCATATTGTTTCCAGTTATTTTTTTGAATAATCCTGTTTAACAGCAGGATTCTGGGTGAGAAACTATATTACCCATAGTTTTGTAAAAAAAATAAAAAATCTTTATCAATCAGAGAATCATGACAAGAATCTCCCTATGCTCTCAAAAATGCTTAAATATATGCATGCACAATATGCATATTTTGCAGATGTATTGTTCCTGTATATATAATCAACATCTTTAAATCAATAGTTTTATATTCCTCCATTGTATTTTTTTCAATTATGTATTTCGCAATGCTTCATTGGTCTGTAGATCTTTCTCTTATTAAAGCTATTAAATCTCAAAACTTTTTTTGTTCGTTTTTTAAATGCGTCTTTGCTTAAAATTAAAGTTTGTAGTGTTGCTATGACTTGGTAATAGTTTATTTCTCTTTAACAAAACTTTTTAAACCCCCTATGGAAAGAATACTTCTGGAACCAAGGGCACTGTTGCACTCTATGGAAGCCTTGATAAAGTACACATCAGTTGCACACCTAATATACATTATTTGCTTTCGATTTTGTGTTGCAGTTGCTAAAAAGATTCTTTGGCTGAAAAAAAAACATGCATTTTCTTTGATCAGATCCATCCAATCACTAAAAGATGATGTATAAATGCCCTCCAAAACGCATTCGAGATGAATTGCAATCTGATTGCACAAATTATTTCAGGAGGTAGTTTGAGGGTGCTTTTACGTCTGTAGTTCGGTTCATTTGGTCCAGACCAAGGACAAAAAATTATGCATTGGGGCATTTTTCAGCCATTTTGGTTCCTTTTTATACACCACACTGATTGCTCTGGTCCGAACCAGTTGAAACTAACCAAAATGCAGTCACGTGACAACATCCACATCACTCGTTTGGCCAGATGTGTCCTTGAATGTATTTCCTAAACTGCTTTTCGATTGGTCAGAATTAACGTGTGGGAAAATTCCATCGGAACTCCCAGAAGTACACAAAGAGAGGAGGAGAAGCCAGCAGACAACACGCTGCCGTGGGCTGATTGTATCCCTGGTCATCATATACTACATAGTTTGCTTTGTTGCAAGTGTAAACTGTCAACAAACACTTGTCCTCATCCCAAGGCCGGCGCCACGGGGGCGGGGCGTGAGGGGGCCAACTACAACAAGTCACATTTCAAGATGAGTGTGAAAATAGATTTTAAATTATTTTTATTTATTTATTTAAAAAATATAGTTGCCAAATGCATAGGCTTTCTAGCATTAATATGATGCTACTATAGCAACAATTTAGAACAGTCCGTTTCACAAAGTCGCATTTTAATTGTTACATCTGACACACAAACTTCCCGCGCAAGCGGTTCAACTAAGAATGCAGCACTACTGAGTAAGCTATCAATGTATGATGAAATAATTTTTTAATGTTTGATACGAGGGCTAGATGATAGTTGATTATTTCGCTGTATTGTTATTGTTTGTTGCTGTTCAAGTTGTTCTAACTTAAAATAATGCATTTTGGCTATGCGATTTTGTTTTATTCAATACTCTGGCATCTGTATTTGCAAAGTGTAGTAGGGTCATTCACTCAGAATGCATTTTTTCATTCCACTGCTGTACTTTTCCATTGTAGCCTATTTCAATGTAATTGACGCTACTCGACGTCTTTGAATGCTGTGCTCTCGTCTCAGGTCTTTATAGCAGCTTCTCGCGCATAATACATAATTCTAAAACACGGTGCTCAAGTTCAAATAAATTCAGTTTCTAAAAACTCATCTCTAGACCAAAAAAAAAAAAAAAACTTCCACTGAACTGTCTCGCGACCAAAACACTATCTGTGTGAACCCAGTATTCTAATAGTTGTAGCCGGTTTGTTTACGGTCCGACAAATACGTGAATGGGCCACATATGTTTGTTTTTTTTACATCGCCCCTTTTCGTCACCTCAGCCGCCCCCTCATCAGTGCTGGGCTGTCCCCGGCTCTGCCTCGTCCCATAATGCACAGCGCAGCTGACTACGGAAGCTTGTTTAGTCCAAAATTCTGCAGTACTTTTTGTTTCAGTTAGGTTCTTCCCAAAACTGCAAAAAATTAAACTGCTGCAAATGCAACTCAATGGTCAGCATTGCATCTTGAAGTTTAAGATACAGCCATCTTCATTAAAAGTGGTGAATGCTGAATTCTCTCACCAGTGCTGATGACGTTCTCTCAGCTGTTGAGGCCTTTGATTTTGAAATGATCTAATGATAGATAAAACGCAGTGTGTGTGTTTTGCTTGAACTTGTTGAATTTTCATATAGCAAGTGAAGTGTAAGTGAAGGTTGGATTTATATTAGTTTTGCGGAGACACATTTACTGTGTGTGGCCAAGTTTAAATGAAACAAACCAGATGGCTATCTGATTAATACAAACCCATGAAGTTACAAATGTGTAAATTTGCTCCATTATGTTCCAAACAAAATCACTTCAATGCACAGTCATAATTACATAATTATACTATATGAACCCATAATTATGATGCAGCATCAGCTAGGGAGAGAGAGAATGGGATTGGGACTCAAACCGTGTTCCCAGTGATCCAACAGCTCTTGCATTACATGTCTTGAGCGTGTGCACACTCCACTGTGCCAGTGTCTCTGACACAAACCGAGTTTTATTAAGCGAAGCTGCAATTCTCAGGACAGTTCAGAGTGTGTTTTTGCCTTCATGACCCTTGGCGTGCTGCTTTTACCTCTCGCTCTGCCCTCCTATGAGAAGGTGTGCTGCTTAATGGAGGAATCACCGTGGGTCTGGATCCATGTGTGAAACAGATGTTTAACTGGCTGGAAGAGGACGAGAAAATGTATCTTAACTAGCACCTTGCCAAAGGTCTCTTGTTCAGTCAGCCATCTGCTGGTGCTCAGCACAACTTCCCATCTGCCAATACGCATTACAGAGGATTTAGTAATTAAGTGGTAAGTTGAGGACTAAATTGGGTGTTTGTGGGCCACAGATCTACCCCGGGGTCCCTGCAGCCATGCAGATAGGGGATTCTAATTGCTAGGGATATTGATCATTCCCAGCGAGGGTGTGTTGGGGGATTTCAGGAGCGATCGATTAGCTGTTACCGTGGCCGCTTCGCCAATAGCAGAGAAAGAGGTAGGAGATGCTTTCGTGGGATCTCCCCACGCTCTTCAGCACCTGAAAAAGTGACACATCACCTAGTCAACCGCCCGCTTCGGTGCCCAGACACTTCACTTGTTTGGGTTTCATCTGAAGGTCGAGAAGGTTTGGGTTTGGTTAATAACTCTCATTTCTGCTGCAGTAAGCATTTCTCTTGCCTTTCCAATTCTTTTGTGAGGGATTAGAGACGCTACGGTGGGTCTGACTTGTTGTAGTTGGGTGTGATTTGTTGATCCTTGCTGAAACGGTGCATGAGCTCATCGCCGCCCTGCTCTTGTAATTAGTTTCGGCCAAGCTTATTAAATATTCACGCTTGCCTTCTCTAATTAAATCTAACCTTTCTCTCATGCTTACCGTTCCAGCATGTTATCTTGCCTTAATTAAGATGCGTTCTGGTCTGTCTGACTGACTAGCTAGTTGGAGAGAGATGTTCTGGAAGATGTTTTGCTGTGGACTGAAGTGTCCCATTCTCTCATACCCATACACAATTAGCTCTGTAAATAAATATCCCACATTCCATGCCATGCTAAAAAAAAAAAAAGACCAGCTTAAACCAGACTTGGCCTCAGACGGTCCAGAGTCCGTTCACTGACCATCTAATGCACATAAGAATGGTTGGCAAACTTTATTTATTATGGAAATAATATACTTAAAGGAATAGTTCTCTCAAAAAAGAACATTTGCTGAAAATGTACTCACCCTCATGCCATCCAAGATGTACATTAGATGAGTTTATTTCTTTATCAAAACAGATTTGGAGAAATTTAGCATTGCATCACTTGCTCACCAATGGATGCTCTGCAGTGAATGGGTGCCATCAGAATCCAAACAGCTGCTAAAAACATCACAATAATCCATGTGACTCCAGTCAATCAGTGATAAATCAGAGTCAATCTTGTGAAGTGAAAAGCTGCGTGTTTGTAACGAGCAAATCCATTATTAAGGCATTTTAACTTTGAACCGTCGCTGCTGGGCAAAATACAAGTCCATAATCGTTTTTAACGCGTCCTCCATTCTGACGGCACCCATTCACTCCATTGTTGAGCAAGTGATGTAATGCTAAATTTCTCCAAATCTGTTTTGATGAAGAAATGAAGACAAACTCACCTACATCTTAGATGGCCTGAGGGTGAGTACATTTTCAGCAGATTTTTATTTTTGAGTGAACTGTTCCATTAAGCAAGAACTGAATGCAATATTTCCAGACATTTAATTGCATGTTACTTACAATTAAATGAAAATGTATCATAGTTCAAATTTATATTCAATGCAAGTAGCTGAACTAGTCATGTACTAGTGAAGTAGTGAACTAGTTTTGACCCACTTAAGTAGGACTTAAGCACATTTTTATGTGTAATTTCATAATTACTTCTATTGTCTTTGAAATATGGTTAAAGTGTATTGCTGAATGTACTGGCTAACTGGCTGTACTTTCTATTGAAACTTTTATGTAATGTATTTAAATATTTTTGTAATTACATATTTGTAATGATGGAGTTGCAGTTTAATACATTTAAAATATATTAACCTTAACTCTTTCCTGAATGAGTCCACAATCACCCGATCAAAAACACAGGCGAGGAAGACGCAGAAACTAGCAATTTCATATGTAAGCAGATGCATATGAAAAATAATGCGATCATCAACAATAAACAGCATATAAATGAAAACTGCCTAATGTTACAGAGTGAAATGGCGATCCCGGAATTGGTAAAGGACTGTGAAGCTTTGGGGGTGTTGATGGAAGCGCTCTACTGCATCTATGCTTTGATCATCGGAATGAATATGATCCAGATATAGTCTTTGATAAAAATGCGATTTTCTCAACTTTTTGATCAAAGTGTTACTTTTTTATGAAACTTACCTACATACAGGTGTTGATAAAAAAAAAGAATGCTTGAAGCTTGAATAAAACAAATTGTTTGTTGTTGTTTAAAAGTAGAGGCTCTGTTCTTTTTTTTTTTGATGTATTGCATGTTCAGATATTCATACACTAAAATATTCTGGAGGCCATGAAATTGTGAAAATTATAAAAAATGCTGGCGGTGGCTGGCAACTCTTTTCAAAAACGCTGGTAGGGAAAGAATTAAATGTAATATTGCATAACACACTGCAGTTAAAATTATAATCAAGTACTTTACAATAGTATGTTAGTTAACACATTAAAATAAGTGTACTTCCTCTTCAGGAACTCGAGCTGCGTCGAGAACACTAGGGGAACGCCTTCAGTGACCCACGCTCTGAATCACATGTGAAATCAGTCCAATAGCTGAGCGGTACGTCACGGCGGATGACGTCATGAACGGGAAGCTATAAAAGCCAGCGTCAGCTTTCTGTCATTCAGCGAAGCGCTCTGTGTGTGTCAGTCATATTTATTGTTGTCTGTCAAAAGTCTATAAGCTCCAGCTATGTCTAAGCTCATGCAAGGACAAAGCATTTCAAGGGCGAGGGCAAGCCACGTTGTAGGTTGTGTGTTCCTCCCTGCTTAAAGATAATGTTATATCACGAGTGGGGACACACACAGCCTGTGCGTGGTTTGCTTGCGAGCGAAGCATAGTTGTTAAAAAAGAAAAAGCATTCGTGATGGCCATTGCGGCCTACCACGCCCCTCTCGGTGGCCATTCAGTGGGAAGACACCCTCTTCTTGCACATTTCCTCTGCGGTGCGCTGAGGCTGAGGCCTCCGGCCAGAGAAGCTTAGGCTAAGTGGTGGATCAGGATGCTATTCCATAGCCTCGAGTCCTCTGATCTCCCCTCTCCTTTGGGGGTCAAGATTCACTCCTCCAGAAGTTGGCCTTCGGGATGGCGAGCCCCGCCTACTTTAGCCACTCCGGGCTCTTTTGTTCTCTCGCCCTAGCTGTGCAATCTTCCACACTAGGCAGAGATTTGGAAGTCTGGCGACGTGGGCATTCTCGTTCCCCTAGTGTTCTCGACGCAGCTCGAGTTCCTGAAGAGGAACGTCTCAGGTTACGTATGTAACCCTAGTTCCTCGAGGGAACGAGACGCTGCGTCTCGGTGCCATACTTCCGGCGTCCCTGCCGGCGCTTGCTTCATTCCTAGAAGCTGACGCTGGCTCTGCCGCACGTGCTTTTATAGCTTCCCGTTCATGACGTCATCCGCCGTGACGTACCGCTCAGCTATTGGACTGATTTCACATGTGATTCAGAGCGTGGGTCACTGAAGGCGTTCCCCTAGTGTTCTCGACGCAGCGTCTCGTTCCCTCGAGGAACTAGGGTTACATACGTAACCTGAGACGTTCTTGACACTTGAAGCTTGACAAAGGACAAACGCTTACGCTGAAAATGGGTGGTTCTTGGCGAGAATAAGAAGCAAAGTGTACCAGACTTTATACTGGCTACAAAGGACTAAGCTTAAAGGGATAGTTCACCCAAAAATGAAAATCACCCTCATGTTGCTCCAAACCCATAAGACTTCCATTCACATTCAAAACACAAACAAAAATATTTTTTATGAAACCTGATATATTTCTGTCCCCCCACTGAAAGTCCATTCCACCAACACTTCGAAAAGATGAATGAAAGTTTTAACTGTATGTGTTTTGACTGACATGAGGGTGAGTAAATGATGGCTGAACTTTCATCTTTGGGTGAACTAACCTTTTGAAATATTATAAATTCCGGCCTGGTTTTTGCTGGTTAGAGCTGGTTTGGTATGATCCAGCTTCCTATAGATCATCCCTGGCGGCCCGCAATAAAAAAACAACAGCTGATTTCCAGCAGGATGTGGTGATTTCATCCTTTGAAACTCATATTAAGTTGTCAGGACTGGTGGAGGATGGGGTTTGGTGAAATAAGGCTCATGTTCTCCTCTTCAGGAGGCTGCTGGAGCGTGTGAAGACAGAGGCCAGCAGCAGCAGACAGGAAGCCGTGAGACTCCAGCAGGTGAATCAGCAGATCCAGGAAGAACTGGATGTCAACAGAGAGACCCTCTCAGCCCTGCAGACCAAGGTGAGCGCCACTTTACACTCATCCTGCACTGATTCAGGGCTTTACACGGCAGTATTATTAAACAAAGGTGCCTCACGAAGAGGAACCGCATATGCTTGCATGCGTTCATACGGTGGATGCATTCTCATATGATTTTTTTTTTTTTTGTGGAAGACTTGATACTTGCCTTGATATGTTTGTGGAAGACTTGATACTTGAGATATCCAGCATGATTTGAGAATAATCCATCTTGTGCTTCATTGGAAGAAAGAACATCTGACTGTCTGTGCAAAGAGTTCATATGGACTGTCATATTTTTGCTAATTTGATTAGTGACCTAGAAATAGTGCTAATTATTTAATATCTTATGTCTTCTTTTTTTACATAATAGTGTTTATTTGTTTGTTTTAAATGTCTTTAAAATTCTAAAATATTCTGTTTATTTTCTTGTTTAAATTAGACTTTGAATCCATTTTGCTGTGAACTCAGTAAAAATGTGAACAAATTGGTTTTATAGAAAAATGTCTCCATATATCGATTTGTTTTCATTTGGAAAATAATTCAGAAATTATATAGTTTAAATGATGCAACTATTTAAAGATCAGAAGGAAATATGATTTTATTGCTCTTCTCGGTGCTGAAGAGATGTTAGTCTGAAGCAAAGCTGTACACTCTGTTCATCTGCTTGTAAATTTGCTCATCTATCTTTAGAAACTTTCATAGATCTGATCCAAAAGTCAGTAGCAGTTTCAAATTAATCTCCCTAATCCCAGTTTAATATCTGTCATGCTGGAGTATATCTCTAGTTCCCTCCACATCTTTCCAGTTTATCTGTGATGCTTTGCACTATTAGGAGGCCATATCATGAGGATTAAAATTTGCCTTGATCTTTTGAAAATAAAAGAGTTTAAGGTACTATGGAAACATACTGTAACCTTCCAAATCCATCCATCCAATATCCATCTTCTGTGTGTGTGTGTGTGTGTGTGTGTGCTGTAGATGTGTGAACAGGAGGAGCTTCTACACACACATCAGGAGCATGTTTC